TGAAGATGACTCAACCAAATGGACTGGCTATGGCAGTTTTTGGAGTTAGGGTCAAGGTTCACAACAGGGAGGAGGTTAAAGTGGGCTGGTCATTGTGTGTGGCTCAAAGGGAGGCAGAACAGGTATGGCTAGACTCTTCTCCCCACTCCCTTCTCCAAGGGAGACTTTTATTCCTGCCAGGAGGGGAAGCAGGAATTTGGTGCCAGAGACCACTCTGCTCTCCTCAAAGAGAGGGGTACCGAGGAAGAATTATATCATTTCTTTATTCCTTTAAAGATTGCTATTCTAAGAGATATGATCAAGTTCTATCTAATTTTTTATTGCTTTACCACTTTGGGGGGGGAAGGAGAAACCCCAAACTCTATATTCAAGACTTGAACCCTTTCATAATGAACACACAAAGCAAATAGCAAAGAAATCCATTTATCAAAGTTATAACCAAACAGAAATCAGAGAAGGTATACATAGGAGAATATAGACCAGACAATACAGAGAGAAGGAGTTCTCTTATTGGGAGCAGTTAACTCATCTCAACAAAGAGATATGTCCACTATCTCACCCCAGGGGAAACTTCCTGAAGCCTTTAGAATAGCAAGCTGGAAATAGGGACGTGATGAAGATTGCCCACTCTTTTCATGTTTTTTTTTCCCAGAGTCTTTTGCTTCAGCAACATGAAGTGGGTGTGGCTTCTCTCCTGCAGCTGGAAGCCAGGAGTACCCAAAGCCACTTAATGCTTGAGGGTCAAGAGCATGACTTGAAGAGGATTGGTAAAAGCTTGAGTTCTTTGCTTTTCATCAACTCCTCCCTGCCCCTCAAGCAGGGTAGGGTCTTCGTTTCCACCAATAAGGAGACAGTCCCATATCAATGAACTTTGGGATAAGGTTATACTTCACAGAGTTTCTGGCAGTGGTGTGAATTGTATTGTCTTCCTACAGATCAAGTACCTTCTCAATATATTAAGTTTGATTGAATAACATTATAAAATTAGGTATAGGCTCTGTAGCCAATGTTAATTCTATGACCTTTGCCTCTAACCTGTAGAACCTTGTACCAATTTATTAAGTGCCTACTGTGTGTCAGACATTGTTCTAAGCACTTTGCAAATAGTATCTGCTTTAGTTCTCACAAAGCCCTGAGAAGTAGGTGCTCTTATTTTCCCTATTTTATAGTTGAGGATGAAACTGAGAATAAATGACTTGCCTAGGATCACACTGTTAGTAAGTATCTGAGGCTGGATTTGAACTCAGACCTTTCTGACTCCAGGCTCAGGGCTCTGTGTACTATGGCAGCACCCAGATGCCTAAGGCATCATTGTACAAAGAAAGCAGCACTGAATTTGGAGCCAGGGGTTCAGATCCTAACTTTGTCATTTACTACTTATGTTACCTAAGCAAGACCTTTCACCTCTCTGGGCCTCAGTTTCCTGATCTGCAAAATGAAAAAGTTAGACTAGCCTAACTAACTAGAGTAGTTTAAGTCCCTTCTGGCTCTAATCTATGATCCTATGATACACATTCAACTATTATTGTTATTAGAAATAAATCAACAGTATTTACTGACAAGTTTATAGAGGTAACTGCTTTTAAGTTCTTTCATTGTGTTTCTGTATTGTGGTACCACCATGTGGCATAGCAGCCCCATTAAATGGCAAGGCAGCAAGCATTTATTAAGCACTTAGTAATGTCTAGCACTGTGTTAAGCACTGGGAATACACACATACATACATACACACATATATACACACATACATATATATCTTAAGTGTGTGTATGCAAAAAGAAAAGTAATCCCTGCCCTCAAGAGCTTGCTTTCTAATAGGAAAAAACAACACACAAAAGGGAGCTGAAAAGTTGGGAGGGAAGGAAGATATCTTAGCTGGAATATGATGTTAAAGTTCAGAAAGTCAGCGGCAGGAACCTAGTGAGGAATGAAATTTGGCAGGCTCAGGCCGCCACAAAATGGAAGTCCTAGGAAGAACTCACCAATGGAAGAAGGGGACCAGCATGGCATGGATGAAAAAGATGCTGGAGTAGATGGATGTGCCGGGGTAAGGAGGACCCAGCTGCTAAAGGAGAGTACAGGGTAAAACAGTGGCTGAAGCATTGTGTCCAGAAAGTCAAGAGCTATATAATTAATTAGAAAATGGGGAGGACAACCTGACTGTAGATTTGTAAATAATTTTACAAATAATAAACTTCATATATAAAATAATAAAATAATTGTAAATTATTCAGATCAACACTTATAAACATTTATTAAACACCTATACTAACTGACAGTATAGGATAAAAAGCTTTTTTTAATTTTTTTATTTTTTTACTGTACTGGATAAAAGAGGAGAGAATAAAAAAAAGCATAGGACTTCCCTGCTTGGGTAAATGAGATAATGGTGCCAGAGGAAGGAGGGAAGATGAAACTACTCAATGTTCATTTTTTTTTCTTTTGCAAAGAGAATGACCTTTGTACTGTAAATACAGAACAAAAATGACTAATAGGAAGCTGAAACAAAAGATAAATAAGCATGCAAATAGGAAGAGGGAACTTAGTTGCACTAGATGAATTCAAGTTATCAGACCCATACATGTTACATCCTAGGCTACTGAAAGAACTGACAGATATGATTGTTGAAACATTGTCACTGGTCTTTGAAAGATCTTGAATCAGAGAGGGAGGAGGGATATGTGTGTGTGTGTGTGTGTGTGTGTACATGAAAATTAAGGTGATATAGAAACAAAAGAAACCAATAAAATCTTTAAAAATGTAAGATTATGAAACATAGGAAAAATATGACAGGATTAGAAAAGGACAAATGGCTTAATTAAAAAAAAGAAAAGTGCAGCCTACAAAGTTTAGATCAATAACCTGGCAATATTCTTGAAACTTATTATTAAAGAGAGGGTAACAAACCTATACAAAAGGAAATAGTGGTCACAAATAACTAGTATGCCTTTGAACAGCTCATGCCTGCCCAACCTCATTGCCTTTTTTGACAGGGTTATTGGATTAGACTTGGAGAATGCTGCAGATAAAGTTTACCTAGATTTTAGCAAACCATTTGATACAGTTATTTTACTCTTGTGGACAAGATGAATAGATGTGACTTATAAAACAGTATTTAGATCTTTTTGGAACTGATTAAAAGATAAGACCAAAAGAATAGTCACTAACGTTTCAGCATTATCTTGAAATGAAATCTCTAATGGAGTGCAACAGAAATTTGTGATTGTCCCTGTGCTGTTTAACACATTTATTAATGACTAAGTCAATGGCATAAATGAATGCAAGATATAGCATTTTGAAGTGCTTAGTATGTGCCAAGCACTGTGCTAAGCCCTGGGAATACAAATAGGAAATTGAGACAGCCTACTCCCAAGGAGCTTATTTCTCATTGCAGAAGAGAATACACATAGGAGTTGCATGGTTCCAGAGTGCAGCCTCAAATAAGATGACAAGGCTCAGGGATCTTTAGGATTCATTGACAAGTCAAATCACAATGCCTGGCTCTCTAAAGGCAAAGTGACAGAGCAGAGGATGAGAACCAAAGGGCCAGAGGGTATAATGACCCTATAAGGGAAGATGGTAAGGCCCAGTGGACCTTCTTCTTACAAGGAAGCATTATAATTGGTAACTTTCTACTCATCCAAATGGTGTGAGTAGCCATGTCCATTTGGTGGTAAGGAGGTATGATAGAGGTTTCTGGTCCTTAGAAAGATGGAGGAAGTGAGCCAGAGGGTTGGAGTCTGTAGGGAAGCAATCTGGCGCAGTAGAAAGAGAGCTGGATGTTCATGGAGTCAGAGGACCTGGGTTTAAATTGATATTGGACCTTCACTTCCTCATCTATAAAATAAAGCGTTGGACTAGAGGGCTTCTATGGTCCTTTCCAGATCTATATGTCGCTGATCCTACCCAGCTTGGTAGATGTGTGAGAATCACCATAAAAGAAGCATAACTTTGGTGAACCAGGAGTTACTGGGCACCATGATGAAGTAGGCCATGATAAGCCATGGAAAATTGATGAGAAATACCAAAATCCTTTCAGTTTTCAAGGTGGAAAAATGCAATGCACTTTATCTACCTGCATGTATTCGCATGCACGTTTGAGAAGCATCTGAATGAGTAAATGAATGAAAAAAAATTTATTAGGTCCTTACTATGTGCCAAGCATTATGCTAAGCGTTGAGGATACTGATACAAAAGCAAAGACAGTTTGTCGGCCAAAAGAGCTTACATTCTAATGGGAAAGATGTGAAGGATAGCTTGGCTTCCGGGAGTGTGACTGGAGCCATAGGGGAGAATAGATCTTCACACTTTTTCCAGGAGCAGTGACAGAGTTGATTTGATTATGATTCTAAAACTGGAAAGGGGATAGGAGGAGAAGGGTATGTGCAACTGTGGAGATGGCAGAGGAGCAAAACGCACCTGGAGCTGAACCTAGTTGTGATGGGCTACCGAAGCTACAATGAACAGGGCAGCAGGGCCCCAGAGTAGGAGTTATGAGGATGAATGGGGTTAAGCCCTCAAGTATTGGATTTCTGGTCCATGTATCATGATGGCTGGTAAGGAGATGGCTGGAAAGTCAAACACATGCAAAGTATCACTTGAATATGTTTTTAAAATAAGTAAACGCAGTTCACTAGAAGACGTCCAAGTCAGCCATCATTTCAGTGATATTTTCTGGCAAAATGATAATTGGGTCACATTTCATTTATTTGGCAGAAAATTGTGGTAAACCTCACTTGAAACCTGTGGTGTTCTTTTAGAATTTAGAGACTGCTGTTTTCTCTATGGTATCAATATTTCCTGCAGATTTGCTTTTTCATGCTTTCCATTGTACAATCAAGGGACTAATTTGTTTCCAAAGAATTTCGGAAAGGCCTGTCAACAGAATTAGATAAAGGTTTTTTTTTTGTGGGGGAGGTGGGAACTGAGGGAAAGGCTGGAATGTTTTTCTTTTATGTTGACAAGTAAAAATGACTATCTTTAATTTGTATTTGTTTCAGAATCGGAGCAAACGCTTGGAAAAAGTCCATGTGGTTATTGGACATAAGACATGTGATCTGGATTCACTTATTTCTGCCTTCACCTATGCTTACTTTCTAGACAAGGTAAAAAGAAAATGGCAGGATTCCAAATGTTAGCCCAAAGTCATATATTTGCTTTAGTTTATAGTCAATATGTGATTAGCATAATTTCTTCTTAGAAGAGAGCAGCTACTGATTCCACACATCCTGATTTGCTGCCCTGGGAAGCAAAGCATAAATATATCATATAGTTTATTCAGAAATATAAGAATGTGTTCTGAGGTTGAGTGCTCTCATTTCCTCACCACTCAGCCTATAGCTTTTGAAAATTCAGTTCCTTTTTTTTTCCTTTTTATAGTTTTGTGTGACTGACAAAACTCTCTCTCTTTTTTTTAATGACAGGTCAGTCCCCCTGGTGTTCTGTGCTTGCCAGTGCTAAACATACCAAGAACAGAATTCAACTACTTCACTGAGACAAGGTTTATTTTAGAAGAGCTAAATATCTCTGAATCATTTCACATTTTCCGAGATGAGATTAATCTACATCATCTAAATGAGGAGGGGAAATTGTCATTAACACTTGTTAACAACAATGTGCTGGCCAGGTATGGTACACTCAACGAAATAAAAATTTAATTTATTTTAAATTCTTCCCTTAAAAGCAGCTCTTGAAACAGAATTTTTTTTGTTACCTTTATCTATGACTAATTTAGTGAAGTAATTAAAGAGAAGTAAAATTCTACATTAAATTTTGTCTATACTCATTAAAAAATATTTAACTGCTTTGTCAATGATGTGGATAAAGGTGAAAGTCAAGTCGAGTCAAATCATAGGCTAGGCTCTAAGCTAAGCACTTGGTATTCAAAGAGAGATCAAAAACAACCTATCAGGGGCAGCTAGGTAGCACAGTGGATAGACCACTGGCCCTGAAGTCAGGAGGAACTGAGTTCAAATGTGGCCTCAGGCCAAACACTTGACACTTACTAGCTGTGTGACCCTGGGCAAGTCACTTAACCCCAATTGCCTAAAAAAAAAAACAAACCAAAAAACAACAACAAAAAAAGCCCCAGCCAATAACAAACAAATAAACTAAAACCAGTCTCTTCTTGCTTATCTGATTTGCAAAGACACAAAACTAGAGGTAATTTCAAGCATAACAGATAACCAAATCAAGGGCCAAGAAGAGCTGATAAGGGGTGTTGGGAGGAATCTAATAAGATGTAATTTAGTAGAGGTAAATTAAATTTTTATATATGGATTAAAAAAAACCCCTCACAAATATGATATAAGGGACCCAAAAATTATGTGAGGATTTTACTGATAACAAGCCTAGTATAAATCAACTGTATGGTATTCAGTCAGTCAGTGAATATTTGTTAAGCACCTTTTTTTTTTTGTTGTTATTTAGTCATTTTCAGTCATGTCTGACTCTGTGACCCTCTTTGGGCTTTTTTTTTTTTGGCAAAGATCCTGGAGTGGTTTGCCATCTCCTTCTGCAGATCATTTTACAAATGAGAAAACTGAGGCAAACAGGGTTAAATGACTTGCCTAGGGTTACACAGCTAGGAAGCATCTGAGGCTGGATTTGAACTCAGGTCCTCCTGACTCCAGGCCTGGTGTTTTGTCTGCTGTATAATCTAGCTATCCCCATTAAGCCCTTACTTATGCCAGACACTGTGCTAAGTTCTGGGAATGTAAAGAAAGTCAAAAGCAGTCTCTGTTCTCAAGGAACTCAGAGTCTAATGGGGGACACAACCTGTAATATATATATATATATATATATATATATATATATATATGTATGTATGTATGTATGTATATGTATGTATATATATGTATGTATATATATGTATGTATGTATGTATATGTATGTATATATATGTATATAAACGTATATATAAATTTATATGTGGGATAAATTTGAAATAATCAACAAAAGGAATGCACTAGAATCAGGGGTAATAAGAAAAGCTTCCTGTGGAAGGTGGAGGACTTGAAGGAAGCCAGGGCAGTTTAAAAAGCTAATGTAATTTTGGGCTGCATTAAGGGGAGATATAGTGTGTAGGGCTTAGGAAGTGATTGTCTCCTTGTGCTTTGCTCTGTTTGGACCACATCTGAAGCAGCATATTCAGTTCTGGGTGCCATGTTTTTAGGAAGGACATCGATAATCTTTGAGAATATCCAGAGGAAGAGAATCAAGATGGTGAAGGGCCATGAGGTTAGGCCATACAATGATCAATTGAAGAACCTGGGATATTTAGCCTGGAAATGACTTGGGGATGAGGGAGAGGAGACGAAGACCATCTTCAAGTATGGAAGAGTGATTGGACTTGTCCCAGGTGACCGAACTAGGAGCACCCAGGTGGCAATTGGAGAGGCAGGTTTAGGCCTGATGTAAAGAAAAATAGATTAATGATTAGATCTAACCCAAAGTGGGATGGCTTATTTCAGGAGATCTCCCCCTCACTAGAAGTATTCAAGCAAAGTTTAGATGCCAGTGTGTTGGTGCTACTGTAGAGAAGATTCTTGCTCAGGAATGTGTTGGATCAGGTGGCTTCTAAAGTTCTTCTGGGCTCTGAGATTCAGTGGTTCTGCCAGACAGGTGTAAAGGTATGCAGCAGTCCTATGGGAAGGTGGATGTATTTTCTTCTCTTGTGGCCAAGTATTAAGAAATGTTGAACCTGAATTATTCTTCTCTTTCAGAAATGACATTTTTGAGTAGGATGTTCTTAGACTGATCTGAAATTAAATAATAACAACAACCAATAGATAGTAATCTTGCATAGTGCATTCACATTGGCCTGGGAATCAAACTTTGTGACCTTCCTGGTCTGATCTCACCCCCAACTGCTAGTGTTCTTCCTCAGTAACTACCTTTTATTTATTTTGTATTTATTCTATATGTTATTTGAAAAATATCTTTCCATATGTACATTTTGTCTCCTTTGACAGAATGCAAGTTCCACGTGAGTGGAGAACTTTTCTTTTTCTTTATATGTCTATCTCCAGTGCCTGGCCCATTGTAGGTGCTAATGCTTATTGATTGATTTTATCTCTTTGGATTTCTTTTCATACACCTTCAAAATGATGTGACTGTACGGAAGTTACACTAGGTGATACGCAAAGGTTTTTTTTAATCTCTAAAATTTTACTATTATATTACTTTACTTCTTAAAAGTAGCCAGTAAGCTACTAAAATCTTTCTAATACTGAGATCTTTTATTGGGAAATGAAAAGTAATCATTGAAATGAGACCTAAAAGTCATAGAATATTCAGTCTGGAAGGACCTTGGAGGTCAGCTTTTTTGACCCAATCATTGTCTTTTAACTAACATGTATTTAATGTCTACATAGTTTGCTGTTAGATAGTCTGGGAGGTATAAAAATGGATAAAACACAGTCCCTGCCCCCAAGGGCTTTACAATTCAGAGGGAGAGATAATGTATATGCTCAGATAGTTAGAACTACAAAGTTGTTCTAGATTGTAGAATGTGGTAAATGTAAGAAGAATAGCATAAAGAAAATCCTGCAGAATATTGGAGGAAAGAATCACAATTTGTAGATGGTACTCATGAAAGGTCTCAGGGAGGATAGATCATGTTCATAAGCTGTTAAAATCTTGTAGGAAAATCTTTGTAGGTAAATGGAAAATTGAGGAAGGTTTCATGAAAGGGATAGCATGCTCAGAGTTATTGATGAATATTTATTGTTGCTGTACTTCTAAATGGGATTTGTTATTAAGAAGGAGGACCATGGACATATTTCCCTGTGGTAAATATTAGTTCTTTACAGGTACCCCCAGAGTTGTCAGTAGTTATAACATTGTCTGGCAGAGGACATTACCATTGTAGATGCAGTTACACCATGTAGGGGGTAGCTCTTGACCCAGTGACGTTAAGGGGTAAGGAGAATAATGGAAAAGGGGTACCATAGGACCCTGGAGGATTGGGGGGATTATGGCCTCTCTGAAGAGGAAGCATCTCTCTTCTTTCCTTCCCCAGGAACTCTTTTCACACTGTGCTAGTTATGATTGTGAATGCCCTTAAATGATTTAGTAAGTCCTTTACAAATATTCAGAATAGACTCTGGAACCCTATGTATGAAAAAACCTCAGTGATCTCAAAAATCAGAGGACCATGAGATCATAGATTTAGAGCTGGAAAGGATCTTTTGCACTATTGAGTCTAACCTCATTTTAGAAATGAAGTACAGATGTAAGAAATGATGAAGGCTCTCGTTATAGAAAAAAATCTGGGAAGACTTGCATGAATTGATACAAAATGTAGCAAACAGAACCCAGAGAACAATTTATACAATAATAACAATAATGAAAAACAAATAACTTTGCAAACTTTGGGACTTGGATCACCGCAATGGAACCAACCACAATTCCAGAGGACTCATGATGAAAAATGCTACCCACCTCTAAATATAGAGACAGATCAAAGCATGGTTGTTATTATTATTATTTTTTTTGACACAGCTGATGTGGGAACTTGTTTTGCTTAACTACATGTATTTGTAATAGGTTTTTTCTTGCCTTCCTAATAGATGGGGACGGTGGAGGTGGGAGGAAGAATATTCAGACCTAAAAACAAAATAAAATTGAATTTTAAAAAATGAGGCATAAAGAAATTATGTGACTTGTTCAGAGTAACTGAGCTGCTGAGTTAGAATTTCAGCATAGGTCTTCCTGATTCCAAGTCCGTTGTCGTATTGCATACACCATACTGCTTTCCGTCCTATGATTCTACAATATGTTTTATCCAAAGAGTATTCTTTAAAAGAGCTTTGTAAACCTAAATCATATAATGAATACATTCCTTTCTTATCTCCTGTTGGAATCCCTAGCTTCATTTAAAACATAGCTCAAAGGCCACGACTTACCTAAGGCCTTTTCTGATTCCCCAGATGTTAAAGCCTCCCTTAAAAATTACTTTGTATTTGTTTTGCAAACATTTTATATGTAATTATTTATATGTGTACATGTTGCCTTCTCCAATGCAATGTTTGAGAATAGAGGCAATTTCATTTTTGTGTTTGTGTTTTCAGCACTAAGCGGAGTGCCTAGATCACAGTAGGCACTTAATAAATGCTTGTTGATTATTTGATTTTATATGTCAGGCTAATAGCTATCAGTATCATCCAATTGACATACTAAGCCTCTGTCAAAATTCTGGTCCTCAACCTTCTAGTTGGTTTATTTAATGACCCTCATTAGGGGCTATTAGCACATTAAGAGGATATTGAAAAAAAATGCAATTAACTATAGGGATGTAAGAGAAAAGGAGCACTTTGTTAGCTCACTAAGCACCATTTTTATGTACTAACAGGCTGTAGTGAAGATAGTTGTTATAAATTAAATAAATTGTTTGATTGTGGCAAATTTTGTTGATTGTTGGTGAATATTAACCAGAGTAAATAAAAGAAAAGTGAATCCAGGCAACTGATTTTTCATTAACTAATTCTTTGCATGTTTCTGTATGAAAACACAAACAGTCCAATTCATTGTTGAAATGTGCCCACATTTAAGGTAAAAATTTGCAGTTAGATAACTGTGTAATAGTCAAATAGCATTATATAGTGAAAAGAGAACTAGGCTTGGAATTAGAAGACATGAGTTCAAGTTTTGACCAGTGTGACCTTGGATAAGTCACTTAACATTTCTTGGCCTCAGTTTCATCCTCTATAAAATGAGGAGATTAGACTAGAATGGCCTCTAAGATCCCTTCCAGCTCTAAATCAATCATGAACTAAGAGATTTTAGAGTAGTGAAGAATACCACTAAATTGAGGCAGCTGGGTGGTGGCAGCGGATACAGTATAAGAGTTGAAGTTGGGATGACTTGGATTCAAATCCCACCTCAGACACTTTCTATGTGTGTGACCTTGGTCAAGTCACTTAAGTTCTCTCAGTCTCAATTTTCTCCTCTGTAAATTTGGGATAATAATAGTACCTCCCTCATAAAATTGTTATGAGGATTAAATAAGATAACATACGAAATACTTTGTGAACCTTCAAGTGCTATATACATTCCAGCTATCATTATTATTACTAATTAAATTTGAAATTGAGAGGTTTTAGGGGAACAACATCTTCCAGTTTACTTGTGATCTTATATAAAATATGATGAAATTTTACCCAGATTCTCTGGTAGCATATTTTCTGGGCCAAAAAAATTTCTTCTAAAATCATAGACACTATTGAGCTGGAAGGGATATGGGGGCAGAGCCAGGACACAGTTCTCATTATTCCTAGTCTAGAACTCTTGTTTGCAGTAGAAAAAAACCCAAACCAAAACAAAACAACCCACTGTATTCATTATTTGAAACCACTTGTTTCAATGTGTCTTTTTTAGAGAAAAATTGTGTCAAATTGTGCATTTTCACACAAAAGCTTTTTGAAAAGTACTTTTTAAAAAAGAAAACAAACCATCAGTAATTGGTTGTTGGAATCTGTCAGTCAGCAGGCATTTATGGAGCATCTATTATGTGCTAGGTACTATGCCAAAAAAAGTGGGGGGCGCAAAAATGTCTGCCCTCTAGGAACTCCACCTAGTTGTTTCTACTAGTTGCTTATTAATTCTTCTTAATCTAAGAAATAAAAGGAACAAGTTTTGAAACATAAAAATCAACTAAAATCTTGGATATCACATTTTTATTAAGGATACATTGAGAATTTTGTTAACCTCTGCAACCTTGGGCAAGTCATATCATCTTTACTGGCCTCAGTTTCTTCATCTGTAGAATGATTGGACCAGATGACCTCTGAAGTCCTTTACACCTCTCTGTCTATGATTCTATGACCTTATATTTGTATGTTATTATGAGATATGACTATTTAAAGACATTAACATGAAAGGCCTAATTTCTTTCATGGTCACTATGATAAGCCTTCAGGGGTTATGTTAATTCTCTATTCCTTTAAAAAAATCTTTTTAAAAAGGCCTTTTTCCCTCAAGGCAACTCAAGCTCAGTTATAAAGAACAATGAGGGAAGCAAACAAATTCTGTATTTTTTTTTCTTCTAATGCCACTTCTGTTAAATATTTTGATGACTAATTGGACAAGCCAGAGAATTTTGTATATATGAGTCAGTCACTTACAGAAAATGAGCTCATAGTTAGACTGCTCAGTGGTGACCACTTGCACAGTTGCATTTAGAGGTCAGATTACTAATACGAACGTCCTCCTAAAACTTTTGAGACAGATTTTTAGCTCTAATGAATCAGAGATGTGAGTGAAATGTAGCCTCCTCCTTCTTTATGGTGTGAGTAGGTAAATATTTTGCTCTGAATAATTATAGAAAATTAATTTGTAGGTGACTGCTTGTACATGATAAAGATACAGTAAATGTAAAAAAAAAAGCAAATATCTGTATTCATCGCTCCTTTTTTTTTCTTTTTCATTTGTGTTGCAGTGAGGATAAAACTTTAGAATCTGCGGTTGTCAAAGTCATTAATCCAGCTGAACGATGTGATACGGGCTTTGAGTTCCAGGAGTCTTCTTCCTCCCTTGTGGCAAAAGAGATTCTTCGGGAGGCCCCTGAGTTAGTCACTGAACAACTGGCTCATCTCCTCAGAGGTGAGAGATTACACTTTCTATTAAATACTGAAAGGTTTAATGGAGTGTTTCTCAATCTGCTCATGCAGAAAGAGTGCGATCCATTCTTTGGTTAACAATCCCTTTAAAGACCACGGGAAGCTTCATAAAAGAAGCAGGGAGTAAAGAGTTTGTTAAAGAGTAACATTATATTGAATATTAAAAATGTGCATTTAAAAATAGGCACGAGGGATCTTTGCTGTTTTGCTAGACAAGAATATTAAATGGAGCTACTGCACCACAGTTGGGGAGCTGGGACAGCTCTCTTCTGGCTGTTTTCATACCTTCCAGGACATTTTTGGTAGTGGTGTGAGGACACACATTCACTGCAGTGGAAAAATATGTATTGGGTGTCCATGCTCATATATTTAAGCAGTTTTTTTTTTTCTGTGATACTGTTCAGAAAATTAAATGTGTAATTTTTCTTGTCCTTTTGTTGTGAATGAATGAATGAAAAATCATTTATTAAGCACTATGTGCCAGGCACATTAGTGCTAGGGACAGGAATACAAGCAAATAAGACAGTCCTTGCCCTCAAGGAACTTACATTCTATTAAATTAAATCAATGCAGCTGTTTTGTATCATCAACCCCTTTGGCAATCTAGGGAAATCTATGGGTCCCTTCTCAGAATGAGGATTTTAAATGAATGTAATACAATGTACAGAATTACAGAGGAAACCAATTATATTAAATATAGTTATTATTTAAAAAAAATTTACAGACCCTAGTCAGACTCCCTGGCCTATAGGACGTTGTTTTGTTAAATCGTTTTTCAGTTGTGTCCAACTCTTTGTTGACTCCATTTGAGGTTTACTTGACAGAGATACTGGAGTGGTTTGCCATTTACTTCTCCAGCTCGTTTTACAGCTGAGGAACTAAGGCAAACGAGATTAGATGACTTGCCCAGGATCACACAGCTACTAAGTGTCTGAGGCCAGATTGGAAATCAGAGTCAGATACGACTGAAAAACAACTGAACAACAAAAAGTATCAAGAATGTGCTTTTTAAAAAATCACTGAAACTTACATACATAATAAGAAAAGAAAAAGAACCATATTAAAAACTTAAATATTGAAACTTAAAATACATAACAAGAAAAGAAAAAAGCACATCGGGGCAACTAGGTGTCACAGTGAACAGAGCTCTGGCCTTGGAGTCAAGAGGACCTGACTTCAAATCCAGCTTCAGACACTTAACACTAACTAGCTGTGCGACCCTGGGCAAGTCACTTAACCCTGATTGCCTCACCAAAAAAAAAAAAAAGCATGTCATGTGCATAGCAGAACGTAAGACAGTATTTAAAATACATAGCAAGAAATTTCTATTTCAAGAAAGTCTGTATAATAAATACTACATGTAGTGACAGCAGTCTGCCTTTTCTTTGCTTCCTTGTTAGTTTCTTTTGATTTCTACTGTGCACTTTCTACTTTGTTCTTTTCCCCCTTCCTCCTCCCCTGCCCTCCCTGAAGGCTACAATTAAGCTCAGATATATTTATATACGGATGTATAGATACACATATACTTATATACACATACATACATATACATAGACATTCTTTCCCTAAAGGAATGTAATTTTTGTAAGCTTTGAAGTGCCATATAAACACGAGGTATTAACTTCATGACTATCTATCTACCTGTGATAGCTTCAAACAGCAGGGACATCGGCCTAGTGCCATCAATACGCTTGCTACTTCATCACAGGGGTGCAAAAACTGTAATTGAAACTGCTAGCCCCCCTCCTTGACTTTTTTGCAAGATATAAAAAGAAGACGTTTCTGCTTAGCTTATTTCTCACCTTGTAATGCCTCTTGAAAACTGTACAGCTTGAAATTGTATTTGTTGTGTGTTTTTTTTTTAGAAGTCATTAATAGAGGCAAGTAAAATTGCCGCAGATTAACACCAGGGAAGATGTAAGAAAGGAAGTCACAGAATGGACTTTCACATATACATTTAGTAAACTGTTGTACAAATTCTCTCCTGTTCCCCCTTTCACTATTCCTGCTATGCTTGTAGTAGGAAAAGGTGGCTAACAGTGTAGTGCCCCTTTAAATGTTTTAGATCTAATGGCCCTGGTAAACCTGCTATTAAATATTTTGCTGGCTGCAGATCTCCGTAGAAGTGCTGGCTGGGAAGACTGTGCCCTTAACTAAGCCAAGGAAAGATAATCATTAATCTTTGTGACAGAACCAGGGAAGAAAGCATTTAGGGGTTTCAGGCAAAGAGGTAGTAGTTTGATGAAATTTAAAAATCTGATATGGGGAAAATGCTATAATTAATTATATATATGTATATATTATGTATATAATATAATAAGAGCTACCACTTATATGTTTCTTTAAGGTTTACAAACTGCTTTACATGTATTACCTCATTTTGTCCTCACAACAAACTCTGGAAGATAGGTGCTGTTACTGTTCTTATTTTAGAAGGTGGGGAAACTGAGGCAGACAGTGGACAATGGACTTGGCAGGGTCACTCAGTTTGTTTCTGGGGCTGGATTTTTCAAAATCATGTCTTCCTGACTCTAGGTCCCTTGCTTTACCCACTGCACCACCTAGTTAGCTACCTCATGTACTATGCTAGTCAAAACTTTGGGTTGTTTTGCCAAAGACACACAAGCTATTTAGTGGGAGGGAAATGCTATCTCATTTGAGCCTAATTCCTTGTCACTAAGTTATACCAGCTGGTGTTTTAGGGGGAATTTCTACTTGGGGCTGAATTAGACAGCCTCTGAAATTCTAACTCTAGAATTTGATATATGCTTCCAGGGATTTCAAAGACAAATAAAGCATGGTTCTAAATGGTGCTAGATGACCCATAATAAAGGGTTTTTGTTATTGTTGTTGTTTTGTAGGTGACAGTAACATGCTTTCTAGCTGAAATACATTGTTTCTAGCCAGACCAAGAGAAAGCAGAACTTTCTCTTCATTTTCAGGAATACCAAGAGTGCCATGGGTCACCACGCTTAACTAAGCTGGGCCTTGGGCCACTTTGCACATAATCATAGTCTTTCCAGATTGGTATCGCCTGCCAGAAATTGTGTTCTCCTGGTGAAGCCTTTGTGAACCCAGGATCACTCAAAGCCACGCAATTATTAGGACAAGAGTTACAATTCTGAAATTGGACCCTATTTTCCATAAGGCTTCATAGCCTAGAGGTTAGCTAGCTAGCCATGGATCCAGAGAGACATGAGTTCAACTCTTTTCTCTGCTATATGCTGGGTGACCTTGGACCAGTCACTTAACAGTGCCTGAGGCAACTCTAAACCAGAAGGTGCAGACATGAACTGATAGAAGCAGTAACTCCTTGGGATTTCTCCAGGCCTAGCACCTATTCCAATTCCTAGCAAATCCTAGGCTTACCATCTATTCCAATCCCTTTCACAAGGTATATGCTTGGAAACTTTGGCTTTCCGTAACTCTGTGGGGAGAACAAAGGACCAACAACACAAAATACAAGAAATAATAATTAATGGCTCACATTTATAAGGTGCTTTAAGGTTGGCAAAGTGCTTTCCTCACTATAGTGCTAGGAGGTAGGAAGTACAAATGTTATTAGCCACATTTTAGACATGGAGGATCTGAGAAGTCAGGTGATTTGCTTAGGGTCACACAGTGAGTAATTGTGAAGTTCTGGATCCAAACCCTAGTCTTCTGACTCTAGGCCATTGCTTTTTTGACTCAACCCAAAATGTGAATTGTTTATGTTTTTTGCAGAGTTATTGATGTATTATTTGCCAACAAAAGGTTTCAGCTCTAAATTACTTCCTTAATAGTTTTCACAGAAATAATAATAATTATAATAATAGCAGCTAACATTTACATAGTGCTTACTATATGCTAGGTTGATGTCAAATGCTTTACAAATATTATCTCGTTTGATCCTCACAACAACAGTGGGAGGTAGGTGCTCTTATGATCCCCTCTTTTCAGATGAGGAAACTGAGGCAAACTGAGACTGTGACTTGCCCAAGGTCACACAAGTAATAAATATCTGTGGCCACATTTGATCATAGCTCTTCCTAACCCCATGTCTGGCACTCTATCCACTGTGTCATGTAGAAATCAATGACTCCTGTGTATGTATTGAGCTATTTCATAAAAACAAATGACTGTCAAAATTGCTATGCATCTGTCACCATAATCTGTTTGCATGAATTAAACTAAATTGAATTTTTTCTATATGTGAAATTTTCATTGTTTTTTCCCCATTGCTCTGTGTTTAATAATAGCTGACAGTTGTATAGCATTTTACAGTTTTTAAAATGCTTTAACATGTATTATCTCATTTCATCATAAAAAACCCTGTAGGTAGGCAGAATAGGCATTATTTTTCCCATTTTACCGGAAAATAATTTGAGACTTAGAGAAATTATTGGACTCTGCCTTCAATTCAATTGAAAAGGCATTTAAGTGCGATTATGTGCAGGTCTTTATGTTAGGTGATACAAAGATAAAACTGTCCCTGACCTTAAAGAACTTCTACTGAGGGTGGATGGGGGGATGGGGAGCGGTGCAAGTAAGTGTGGGAGGATGCAGCAGGCAAACAGGAATTTCTTGAAGAAAAGATCATTGACAACTTGAGGGAATCAGGAGAGGCCCTAGTGAGGAAGGTGAGGATTTTAAGAGGTTGAGGAGAAAAGGAAGAACATTCCAAGGACCATAGAGACTGGAGATAGCATCTGGTGTCCGGGGAGCAGCTAGCAGGCTGGTTTGCCTTGAATGGAGAGTGTGTGAAGAACAATAGAATGGAATGTTTTGACTTGTATGGGTATTTAACACATGCTTACTGAATTTATCAGCTTGCACAAAATCACACTGGTCATCAGTGATATGGCCAGCACTAGAACAAGGTGGATTCCCCCCCTTATTTCTACTAATCAATGGGTCATTCACCCTAAAAAATCTCTCCACCACACAAGAAAACATATGACTACTAGTAACAACGTGACCCCTAACCATGATATGATACATCTCAACACTAGCCGAAACAAACCGAGCTCCATTTGACCTAACTGAAGGAGAATCAGAACTCGTGTCCGGCTTCAATGTAGAATATGCAGCTGGCCCATTTGCCATATTCTTCCTAGCTGAATACGCCAATATCATAGCCATAAACGCTATAACCACAATCCTATTCCTAGGCTCATCCATCAACCACAATTTTACCCACATCAACACACTTTCATTCACACTCAAAACATTAACACTTATAACACTTCCCATTATAGTAGGCTTCCTGGTTAATTCCTTTCAACTGCAGATATTACTGTGGGAGGGCTAGCTGTAGATATGATTGCAATGTAACTTAAAAAACCCCCAAAACTTCAAACTTTGATTGTTTGTCACTGTTCTGGAAGGAAGAAGGAAAAAAAATTATTAAGCACCTACTATGTGTGAAGCCCTTTTACAAATGTTATTTCATTTGATCCTCACAACAACTCTGGGAGGTAGATGCTATTATTATCCCCATTTTATAGTTGAGGAAACTGAGGCAGAGAGAAGTAAAGTAACTTGCCCAGATCACATAGCTGGTAAGGGTCTGGGGTAGGATTTGAATTCAGGTTTCTCCTGACTGCCAGGCTCAGCACTCTATCCACTGCATCACATAAATGACACATTCATTTAAAAAGTTTGGTGTTGACAGAGGTCAGCATTGTGACTTGCACATAGAAGGCACTTAATAATATTGAATTGAATCAACTTCGGCAAAAACAATAGATGTTGGAAAAGGTGTTTGCCTCAGACTATCAGCAGTTGTGTGACCTTGGATCTGCCACTTAATGTCTCTCAAACTCAGTTTTCCCATCTGTAAAATGGGGATCATAATTGCACCTACCTCATAGAATTGTGAGGATGAAAGGAAATAATATTCTAGTATCTTGAAAACCTTAAAACCCTATATAAATGTTAGTCATTATTGTTAGCTATTACCATAACATACGGTCTGAAAGTTCAAATTAATTCAGCCCAGACATTAATTTTATGGCCTTTTATGTCAGTTATTTTTTTTTTTACTAATTTTTTTATTTTAAAAATTTCCTTTGTGATACTTTCATCCCCTTTAAATGGGTAGCAACATGACTCTATGCAATGACCTTTCAATTCAATCTGCTCTGCAAAGCCACACTGTTATTAGAAGAAGAAAAAAGGAAGAGGAGGAGACAGGAGAGAGAGAGAGAGAGAGAGAGAGAGAGAGAGAGAGAGAGAGAGAGAGAGAGAGGAGAGAGAGAGAGAGAGAAAGAAAGAAAGAAAGAAAGAAAGAAAGAAAGAAAGAAAGAAAGAAAGAAAGAAAGAAAGAAAGAAAGAAAACATACGACAGTCCTATTTTTTGTCCTGGGTTTGTGCCAAAAGCAAACAATTAGAAAACCTGCCAGAGTCCTGGGCCTGTACTATTTTATTTCCCAAGAGATATTCGTGGGAGGATTGTTGCCAAATGCAAGATCTATTAAACTGCTGAATCATTACAAATGCCTTTTTAAATTGATTTTTTTTTTTAGTAGGCACCAACTGGCAATGGTGAGGTTCAGGTCACTGATTGTGAGGTACCTTGGGTCAAGACATTCCCATAAACTGCCCCTCACATAGATTTGTGTAAGGCCTTAGAGGATGCCAAAAGGGAAGCCAGCATATGATACATGTGGCAGTGCTCTGTAGAAGTGGGGCAGAGACAATGACAGTACCTGACATTTACATTATTGTTGTTAAAAATCTTAGACCTTCTGGTAGAGGTCTAGTTCCTTCTTCTGTTAGTGTGATGACACATTTAATAAAGAGAAGTGATTTTATTGTTTTAGTAGCTTGAATTAGCAACATCAAAAACATCCTTTTAAGGAGGTCAGCTCAGCCAGGAGCAGTGCCAAGTTTTTTCATCTCTCTTTTGCCAAAAGAGTGAATCATTCTTATTCTAAAATGGTCAAAAAATCCAAAAGAATTGTGTTTTCAGTTGTTGGTTTTCTGTGTGGGGTTTTAGGTGTGAGGGGTAGGGATAATTTTCTGTGGTCTTTAAATAAAACTAAACAGTTTTGTCACCTTTAGAAGAATTAAATTTGTTTGTTTGTTTCTCTAAATTAGAGTCAAAGCTTTCCTAAAAGTTACTTATTTTGACTTTTTGAGAGTTTTAAGCCTTTGAGTAAGGGGTTTCTCTTTTTTTCTTTTCTTTTTTGCTCTGGAAGCCTGAAATGACCTAGATTTTCATTCTCTTTCTGTCTTCCTTTTTTTATCCCATTTTCTCCTTCTCTCCCCTTTTTCTTTCTCCCTTTCTCTCCTTCCCTATTCTTTTCCCATTACCTCCTTTTCTAAGAGTTAGGAGTTTCAGTTTTTCAAGCTTGTTAAGGCCTTGAATAAGGGAGTCTTGTATTATGCCCTGTAAGGCTGTACTGATTAAAATTTCTCTCTCTCTCTCTCTCTCTCTCTCTCTCTCTCTCTCTCTCTCTCTCTCTCTGTCTCTGTCTCTGTCTCTCTCTCTCTCTCTGTCTCTCTGTCTCTCTGTCTCTCTCTCTCCTCTTTTATTAAAGTTAGATATTTTAGCTTTTCAAGATTGTTAAGGCTTTGAATAAGAGGAGGATCTTCTTTTATGTTCTGAAAGAATAAACTGAGTTAAATTTTTACTCTCTCCCTACATCCTCTTTTCAAAAAGTTAGATTTTTTATGACTAAGAACTTGAATAAATGGGGGAAGGGAGAATGCCTCTTTTTGTTTCCTAGAAATCTGAATTGAGCTAAATTTTCTTTCTTGTGATCTCTCTTTCCTTTTTCTTCCTTCCCCCTTTCCCTTTTCCCCTTTCCCTTTTTTTCCTCTTCACCTCTCTTTTCTATACTCACCCCTCTCCCCACTGAAGTATGAAAGCCCAATCCCAGATGAACTAGGGATAGATATCTGAATACCTCTCTCCACTCCCCCCCCCAAGTTTTTATCATGCAGAAGATGCCTTTGCTGTGCTTGATATTTCCCCCAAACAATTTTTGCCTTCATTAGATCACGTTTAATATTAATGTGCTGCTTTTGCTTTTGGCAAAAGTGGTGTTTCACTTCTCCATTCTTTTGAACAAGAAATGGAAGGGCTGATTTGGAAAACTTAGCATGATGAGTGTTACTCATGCTATTAAAATCTCTATTATTATCATTAGTATCCACAACCTGCATATGACAAGTGGAAGGTGAATAGTTATGGTACATTTTGAGGGTACATCTGTGTAGACATAAGCATTTCGGAATGTCAAGAATCCCCTGGGAGTGGAGCCTGCTTGCTGTACAAAACCAGATTGTTGATGCTAAGGGGTATCTTTGGCTGACAGATTTACTAATTTTGTTGCTTAACTAAGTCTATTGCTGAATGGAAAACATTGAAGAAAGTGGTATGGAAGGAAACTAGATAAAGTATAACTTGGGATATCATTTTGTTTTTCCCTTCAGAAAAAAAGCCTGAAAGTATTCCAGTTATTTATACAGTAGATGCTTAAAACCCTCCACCAGTATCAAAACTAGCACATGATTTACTATATTATCATACGTATTTTTAATTCAGAAAATCATCTCCTTTCTCAGAGGTAGTATGCAGTATAGAAATCAGCCTCAGAATCAAGAACACCAGAGTTCAAGTCATGAACCGTTGATTCTGGACAAGGTATCCTAGGCACCTCAAGGAGGCTCTAAGTTGTACAATAGTTGCTAATCTGCATTGGTAGAGGGATTTTCCTTACTGGGAGTACCTTATGCAAATGAAACCATAGGTTGGGTCTGGGGGAAAAAAAAATTCATCTTGTCTTCAATTTAGTTAACTTTTAGCCTGATAGCCTGGAGCCCAAGTCCTTGTGCTGTTAATCTTATTGAATATATGATGACTCCTCGAGTCATTGTTGGATATTAATTTAGAATAGGATCTCAAACCAAGGAAATGGTTTGAGTTTTATGTCTGATGTGAAGTTAGATATTGAACATCTATTTCATAAAGTAAAATACTTGTTTCCTCCTAAAAAAGAGAAAAGAAAAAGAGGCTGAATTTGGAGTCAGAAAACCTAGTATTTTACCATTTACTACCTATGTTAATGTGGACCAACTATTTAACCTTCCTAGGCCTTGGTTTTCTCATCTATAATATGGTAGGATAGGACTCAATGACCTCCAAGTTTTCTTTTATTTCGAGGCCTTTGATCCTATAACCCAAATTTTGAGTGAACATGATTTCTTGTTGGAGTCTAGGAACACAAAGCAGTGTTTGTCTGTCAAGCATTCAGTAAATATAATATGCAAAGAACTTTGCTTGCTGCTGTTGTCATTGAGTTATTGTTCAGTTGTGTTCAACTCTTCATGACACCATTTTGGGGTTTTCTCATCAAAGATACTGGAGTAGTTTGATATTTCCTTCTCCAGCTCATTTTACAGATGAAGAAACTGAGGCAAACAGGATTGGTTGACTTGGTCAGGATCACACAGCTAGTAAGTCTCTGAGGCATGATTTGAACTCAAGAATCTTCTTGACTCCAGGCTCAGTGCTCTATCTATTATGCCACATGGCTGTCCACTCTGCTTGGTGCTGAGGGAGAGACAAAGGAAAAAAAATAAGATGGTATCCCTGTTCATGAGGAGCTTAAAATCTGTCTTTGGCTTTAGGCTCATTAAAATATGAGGTTTTAATTATGTGACTTTTTAAAAAAATAAATGATAAAGATGAAGTTGTTTTCTTAATTTTATTATTGGTGAAAAGGTAAAACGGATATAATTTTTCCAAGGTCTTTGGAAGCATCTTTACTATACAATTAACAAAATATAAATGAAGCACACAACCTCTGTGGACTGAAGATTTTTACTTTTTTAGTCATTGACAGCTGGTAGCAACAACCAACAGCTGGTAACATTGTCAGCTGTCTGTGTCATTCACTGAGAAGATTCTGGCAATGAATGTAGGCAATTCTCAGCTTAACAGGTTCTTGGCTGTGTTACCCTGGGCAAGTCACACAACTCCTCAGTGCTCTGGGGGAAACTCTTTGACTATAAGTTGCAGAGAACTCAACCATTTGTATTGATAAAGGGAGTTTCTTCATCTGGGAGTTCCTTATATCAAAGAAAGCACAGATCCCATTCCTTTCCCTTGTGTTAGTAATATAAAAACTCAGATTCGTAATGAACCTCATAGGTGAATCAGTCTAAATATAAAAATGATAGCTTCCCTTCAAATAGTGCTGTTAAGGTCCAAATAGATTGTCACTTGCCCAAGGTCACATAGGTATAAGTACAGAGCTGGATTTGAACTCAGATCCTCTGATTCCCACTACCCCTGAACATCTTATTATACCATGGTCTCTCAGTCCAGATGGATGGTAATAAAGATCTCTATTGGATGCTAGCAGTGGGATTAGACATGAAAAGATGGAGATGAAACACGCTGGACCTGTTAACTGACTGATATCGGTGATGAGGATTTTATATTTTAGAGAGAGATGAATTAAAGACAACATCAAGGCTTTGACCATGGCAGAAAAGATGAATAGTGATGCCACTGACAAAACTGTGGAAGTTCAAATGAGAAACAAGTTTTGGACATTTTGAGTTTGTGGTAGTGAGAGGATGTACAAGTTGAGAGTTCTGGTAGACAACTGGAGATTTATTTCTGGAGCCTTGGGAATAGGTCACAGCTGGAGATGATTTGAGAGTTCTGTGGAGGTAATAGTTCAAGTTGTGGGAGTGATTTATTGCATACGGAAATGATAAAAAGAAAAAGGAGAATAAGGCTCCAGAGGAATATTTTGTGGGTAGATTAGTTGTCTATATCACTTTGCCACCTAATTAGGGACATCTCTCATTCCAAATGAGGGCCTTCTTTTTTTCTTTTTTAAAAATCTTATTTAATATTTTATTTTCCCCAATTACATGTAAAAACAATTTTAACACTCTCCCTCCCTGAAATTTTTGAGTTTCAAATTCTCTCCTTCCCTCCCCTACTTGTTGAAAAGGCAAGCCATTTGACATAGGTTATACATGTGTAGTCATGCAAAGCACATTTCACATTTCTGTGAAAAAAAAAAACCACAGACAAAAAATAAGAAAAAGAAAGAAAGAAAGTAGGGGCAGCTAGGTGGCGCAGTGGATAGAGCACTGGCCCTGAAGTCAGGAGAACCTGAGTTCAAATCCAGCCTCAGACCAAACACTTGACACTAGCTGTGTGACCCTGGGCAAGTCACTTAACCCCAATCGCCTGAAAAAGCAAACAAACAAAAACAAGAAAGAAAGTAAAGAAAAAGTATTTATCTGTATTTTTCAAGCTCTACCAGTTCTTTCTCTGGAGATGGACAGCACCTTTCATCATAAGTCCTAAAGAATTGTCTTGGATCATTATATTGCTGAGAATAGCTAAGTTATTCATGGTATATCATCACATATTTGTTACTGTATACAATGTTCTCCTGGTTCTGCTCGTTTCACTTTGCACCATTTCATGTAAGTCTTCCATGTTTTTCTGAGAGCATCCTACTCATTATTTCTTGAAGCATAATAGTTTTCATCACAATCATATAGAACAATTTGTTCAGCCATTCCCCAATTAATGGAAACTCCTCAGTATCCAATTCTTTGCTGCCACTTAAAAGAGCTGCTATAAATATTTTTGTACACATAAGTCCTTTCCCTTTTTGTTTTTTGTCTCTTTGGGATACAGATCTAGTGGTGCTATTGCTTGGTCAAAGGGCATGCATGGTTTTATAACCCTTCGGGCATAGTTCCAAATTACTCTACAGAATGGTTGAATCCGTGTACAATTTCATCAGTAATATATTAGTGTTTTAATTTTCTCAGGTCCCCTCCAACATTTGTCATTTTCCTTTTCTGTCATATTAGCCAATCAGACAGGTGTGAGGTAGTAGTTCAGAGCTGTTTTAATTTGCATTTCTCTCATCAATAGCTATTTAGAGCATTTTTATATGACTATAAATAGCTTTGATTACTTTCTCTGAAAACTGCCTGTTCATATACTTTGACATTTATCAATTGAGGAATGGTTCTTGTTTCTATAAATTTGACTCAGTTTCCTATATATATATTTGAAAAATGAAGTATTTATCAGAAAAACTCACTGTAAGCTTTTTTTCCGCAGTAATGATTATCAACTATGTATTTGTCTCCATCCTATTTTCCCCATTCATCCTACTCTCTCTCTCTCTTTCCTTTTGCTCTGTCAATTCTCAAAAATGTTTTGCTTCTGACTTTTACCTCCCCCAAGCTGTCTTCCCTTCTATCAGCTCCCTCCCCACTTCTCTTACCCCCTTCCCTTCCTACTTTCCAATATGATGAGATAGATTTCTGTGCCCAACTGAGTGTGCATATTATTCCCTCTTTGAGCCAATTCTGATGAGAGTACGATTCATGTGCTCCTTTCCTTGCTTTCCTAATTTCCCCTCCACTGTAAAATCTCTTTGGTCAGATAATTTATCCTATTCTACCTCTCCCTTTCCCTCTTTCCCAGTGTATTCTTCTTTCTCATCCCTTAATTTTATTTTTTTTAGATAAGCATACCATCACATTCAACTCATCTCTGCTTTCTGTCTATGTATACTCCTTCTAACTGCCCTAATAATAAGAATGTTTTTAGGAGGTATAAATACCATTTTCCCATGTAGGAATATGAACAGTTTAACTTTATTGAATCCCTTATGATGTCTCTTTCCTGTTTACCTTTTTATGCTTCTTTTGCATCTTGTATTTGAAAGTCAAATTTTCTATTCAGCTCTGGTCTTTTCATCAAGAATGCTTGAAAGTCCTCTATTTCATTAAATATCCACTTTTCCCCTGGTAGATGATTCTTGGTTGCAATCCTAGGTCCTTTGTCCTTCAGAATACCATATTCCAAGCCCTCTGATCCTTTAATATAGAAGCTGCTAAATCTTGTGTCTTCCTATTACTCCGTGATATTTGAATTGTTTCTTTTTGACTGCTTGCACTATTTTTAACTTGATCTGGGAGGTCTGGAATTTGGCTATAATATTCCTGGGAGTTTTCATTTTGAGATCTCTTTCAGGAGGTGATTGGTGGATTCTTTCAATTTCTATTTTACCCTCTGGTTCTATATCAGGGCAGTTTTCCTTGACACTTTTTTGAAAGATGTGATGTCTAGGCACTTTTTGATCATGACTTTTAGGTAGTCCAATAATTCTTAAGTTCTCTCTCCTGAATCTACTTTCCAGGTTAGTTGTTTTTTCAATGAGATATTTCACATTTTCTTCTATTATTTCATTCTTTTGATTTTGATCATTTCTTGGTATCTCATAAAATCATTAGCTTGCACTTGCCCAATTCTAACTTTTAAGGAATGATTTTCTTCAGGGAGTTTTTTTTTTGTACCTCCTTTTCCATTTGGCCAATTCTCCTTTTTAAGGAGTTCTTCTCTTCAGTGAGTTTTTGTATATCTTTTTCCATTTGGCCAATTCTGCTTTTCAAGGCATTCTTCTCATCATTAGATTTTTGTGCTTCTTTTACCATTTGGCCTATTCTTTTTTTTTTATTAATTTATTTTGATTTATCCACAATCACTTTCATAAGCTTTTGAGTTTTAAATTTTTCTCCCTCTCCCTCTCCCCCTCTCTCCTAAAGATGGAGTGCAATCTGATATAGGCTATACATATACATTCCTATTAAACATATTTTCAAATTAGTGATGCTATAAGGAAGAATTAGAACCAATAGGAGGAAACACCAGAAAGAGGAAACAAAACAAAACAAGAAAAAGATAGCAAACAGTATGCTTCGATCTGCATTCAAACTCCATAGTTCTTTCTTTGGATATGGATAGCATTTTCTAACATGAGACCTTTGGAGATGTCTTAGATCCTTGCATTGCTGAGAAAGGCTGAGTCTATCAACCTTAGTCATTGCACAACATGGCTGTTGCTCTGTACAACGTTCTCCTGGTTCTGCTCATTTCACTCAGCATCAGTCCATACAAGTCTTTTCAGGTTTTTCTGAAGTCTGCCTGCTCATCATCTCTTACAGCACAACAGTATTCTATTACATTCATATACCACAACTTGTTCAGCCATTCCCCAAATGATGGACAGTCCCTCAATTTCCAATTCTTTACCACCACAAAAAGAGCTGCTATAAATATTTTTGTACATGTGAGTCCTTTTCCCATTTGTGTGATCCTATTCTTTTTTTTAAGATGTCATTTTCTTCAGTATTTTTTTGTGCCTCCTTTACCAAGCTGTTGACTCTTTTTTCATGATTTTCTTGCATCACTCTCATTTCTACTCCCAATTTTTCCTCTACTTCTCTTGCTTGATTTTCAAAATCCTTTTGAGCCATTCCCTGGCCTGAGACCAATTCATATTTTACTTGCAAGCTTTGAATGTAGGAGCTTTGACTTGGAGTCAGGAAGGCTCATCTTCCCGAGTTCAAATCTGGCCTCAGATACTTACTAGATGTGTGACCCTGGGCAAGTAATTTAACCCTGTATACCTCAGTTCCTTATCTGTAAAATAAGCTGGAGAAGTAAATGGCAAACCACTCCAGTATCTCTGCCAAGAAAACCCCAAATAGGGTCATGGAGAGTCAGACACAACTGAAATGACTCAACAACAAGAGGTTGGGAAGGGAGTAATGTGTGATAAAGCTGGAAAGATAGCTTGGAGCCAGATTGTGAAGGATTTTATATGACAGAAGATTTTATATTTGATTCTAGAGGTGATAGGAAGCCACTGGAGTTTCTTGAGTGGAGGATGTGTGTTTGTGTGTGTGTGTGTGTGTGTGTGCGTGTGTGCGTGTGTGTGTGTGTGTGTGTGTGTGTGTGTGTGAGATATGTCTAACATGACATGTTAGACTGGCACTTTAGGAAAATTATTTTGGCTGCAGTGTGCATGCAGTGAGGAGTTTAACGGGGAGGGACTTGAGGCAGGGAGAACAAATTGGAGACTGTTAAAATAGAGCAGGGGAGTGATGATGGGGAACTAAATTGGAATAGGGCTGTGTGAGTGGAGAGAAGGGGCCTGATTGGACAGATGTGACTGGAGGTAGAAGCAACAGCATTTGCAAAGTAGGTAGATTAGGTATGATTCCCAAGATCAGTGGAGAAATAGGCACAAAGAAGTCAGAGGAATCTCGTGCCTCCTGGTAGGGGCTCTTTCTGTTTCATCACAATTCATCTTCTTTCTCCCCATCCTTCCATTCTTTCCCTTATTCCTTTTTGTCCTTTACTTCCTCTGCGTCTTTCCCAACAGGTGCTGTCTTTTGCCTTTCTTTCCTTCACCTTTGCAACATCTGTTGGATACCCCCTCTTCTCTCCTCTGACACTGCCACCATTCTGGTGCAGGCCCTCATTGCCAAATGCCTGGATTATTGCAATCGGCTGCTGGTAGGGGTGCCTGCCACCATTCTTTTCCCATTCCAGCCCTTCCTTCATTCAGCCACCAAAGTAATTATGGCACAGGTCCGTTCATGTTAAACTCCAGTGGTTCCTTTCACCTCTAGGATCAAACAGAAAACTCTGGCATTCGATGTTATTTATAACCCACTCTCCTCTCTCCCCACCCCAGTCCTGCCTGCCTCCATCTTTCAAATTTTCTTATCCCTTACTACCCTTGATCCAGTGACAATAGCCTCCTTGCTGATCTCAAACTAGACACTCCATCTCTCAACTCCAGGTATTTTCTTTGGCTGTCTCCCATATTCTCCCTCCTCAGCTCTGCCCAATAGCTTTCCTGGCTTCCATCAAGTACCAATTAAAATCTCTGGAAGCCTTTCCCAACTCCTCTTAATAGTGCTAGTGCCTTCCCTCTTTTAATTATTTCCTGTTTATCCTGTATATAGCTTGTTTGTACAAAGTTGTTTGCTTGTTGTTTCCCCCATTAGATTGTGAGCTCCTTGAGGGCAGGGACTATCTTTAGCTTCTTTTTGTATACCCCTTGCTTAGTATGTAGTAGACACTTAATAAATGTTAGTTGATTGACTTAGATATGGTCATGGAACCCATCCTTAGCAATGTGCCTGACACCTGGATTAAATGATGGATTTATGATTTACACATTTAAAAAAATCACATCATGGATCTGTTTTTCCCTCTGTAGACTTAACTAAATGGGAACTTTCTCCCGCTCTACTAGTCTGGCTCTCTTTGCCAGAGGGGAGCCTGTATGGAGGCTATAAAGTGATTTAACAGGTCCCCTCCCCACTGGGGATTGTGTTTGGTTGGATTAAGAAAATGCTTTGAGGGTGCATTTCCTCTGAGCAAATAACCTTGTAATATAAGACTCTAATTTAAGAAATTATGAAACAAAGGATACATAAACTGCTCTCTTAGCCAGTCTCTAGAACAAGGCAAGGGGCTCATAGTCATAGATTCTGAATGTCACCTAAATGGGTGCTTTGCTAAGAAATGGAAGAAATTAATTTTAGAATTCTGTAATCTGGTGGTAGTTATGCTTTATTATGTCCTTTCAAGGAAATACCTTTGACTAGTTCACTGTTTGTATTGCAATTAATTTAATGGAATCTTATTTTTATTATATTGGACCAGGCATGTGATTTCATTTCACTTCACATGAGGAAATCTGATTGATTAGTGCAAATGAGTACCTGGCTCTGTGATTTATCATCTTAGAAAATTAGCTGGAGTACTGAGAGGTTAAGTGACTTTTCCAGGGTCACCAGTATGTGTCAGAGTCAGGACTTAATCCAGTTCTTCCCTGTGCTCTATGCATTCTACCAGGTCCATATACACACAACGTATGCCAGGCCAGCCAGATGATTCCCACCACTTTATCACCTTCTACCCTTAGACCCTAATGGAGGCAGCCTATGACCCTAAACCCAAGAGCTTTTGGAACAAGAATGCTTGAAGCCCAGTACTATTATTCTGAGAGGCAAGCCCTGCAGAGAAACATCCTAATGGCTGCTCTTGGGGGTGTTACAGCTGTATCTATCGAAGACCTTTGAATGAAAGTTCTTGATGCCAAAGTCCTTGTAGCTGTCAAATGGTTCAGCATCAGAAACTGATAGGAATTTATCCGTAGAAATGACATTAAAGGACAGGCATTACCATTCTGCTTTGCTGCTGCCCCTAAGATCCAAGGGACCTTTCCATGTGACTGGTAGCTGAAACTTTCTATACATACATACATATACATATACATATACATATACATATACATATACATATACATATACATATACATATACATATACATATACATATACATATACATATACATATACATATACATATACATATACATATACATATACATATACATATACATACACACACATATAGTCTCTTCCATTAGATTGAGAGCAAGGCTTGTCATCTTTTTCTCTTAAAATCTCTAGTGTTTAGCAAGTGTTTTGTATGTAGTAAGTGCTTCATTCATTCATTCAAACATGTATTCATTCATCAATAAAGCTGGAAATGACCCTAAGGGGTCATCTAGTTTAATCTCCCATTTTATATACATCTAGGAGAGATTAGTAGACCACACAGGTAGTAAATGGCAAAGCTGGGTCATTTGACTCCATATTCAGCACTCTTTCCACTGGCTATCTGTCTCTCCTTATTTTTAAGGGTTTTAAATTAATGCACATTATTTAGCTGGGTCTGTTGAGTTTGGGTTCATAACTTCTTAATTGTAAGCCTTAATTTTAAGTCATGGTGATTGTTACTGGTGTGAAATGAACTTTGGCAGATTGCTCTTAAAGGATTCACGCAGGAGATGGGCTTCAATGCTACCTTGAAAAGGACCTTTTTAATTACTTGAAGCAGAATTTGAGAAGACATGGGTAGGACCACTGCTGATATGACTCAAAAAGACTTAGGCTTTCACATCACACATCAGTATTTAAAAGCCAGTGTCTCTTTCATTTCAGGGAGTATTATTTTCAACTGGATGTCCATGGAATCTGAGAAGATGTCAGAGAAACAAGAAGAAATTCTTTCCATTCTAGAAGAGAAATTTCCAGATTTGCCTCCAAGAGAAGACATTATCAGTGTTCTGCAAGAGACCCAATGCAATGCTCAGGGTAAGTGTTAACATCATTGAGGGACATCACAACTCCTTTCTGAGTATAGAGGATAGTGTATTGCATCACTTCAGAAGTTGTGTTTCCTCTGATTTTTTTGTGCTTGTAGATGATTTTCATTTAAATAATTGCAACCTGCCTGGGTACAGTTAGCTCTTACCGCCAATACTCTGAGGTACTTATGTCTGGAAATGTTTCGGGTATCAATTTGGCTAATGTGTACCCCTGACACAACATTGTACAGTATTGATTTGTAGAGAGGGTTCTATTTTAAGAACAGGATAGGGATGACTACCAACTGGAGAGCATTTTATAAATAAATTATATTTTAGAAGGATATGAAGAAGTGAAAGAGAAAGACCAAGTCGATGAAAATGTTCTGTTGATTAGAAGCTATAAGGCTCACTTTACAAGGGTTCTTAAATAAACAAAATTTCCTGATCAGGATGGGGATCATCATTCATTCAGCAAAAATAACCTTCAGGGTTCAGTGGTCAGTATGGTTACATCCTCCATTGCCATAGACCCCAACCCCTCTACTACTGAGTGTGGTTTAGGGATATGCTATAGCTGAAAAATTCATAAGCTGGTGATGAGCTTGGCTAGACTGATCCTCAGACAGTAGACACATCATGTCTCCTGTCCCTTGTTAGAAACCCTTCTGGTTTGTGTGGAGTCATCAGAGCTTGTGTTCTACTGGCATAGAATTTGAGAATCCAGGGTCACCTTCATGCTGTGATGAGATATTGGACTTGGATTTTAATGAAGAAGAATAAAGCAAATATCTATAATATACACATGGATAGGTTGCATAGTGTTTTCTGACATATACTAGCTTATGAGATCCTGGGCAAATTCTTGAACCTTTCAGTGCTTTAAGAAGCCCAATAAGACTATAAGTTGCAGAGAAGGGGCTGACCTGTATTTTTGGAGAAAGTTTCTCACTGAGACCTCCCTACATCAAGGCAATCACTGGTCCTGTTGCTAACCCTGTCCCTATTTGCTTGAGTGTGTCTATTTAGGAAATGAGTGATGAGAAAAGGTGGGCTGGAGAAGGGGATAACAGATGGGCAGCCTAAGGGCTGTAACCCCCAAATGTAAAATTACCTAGGGCAGGGATTTTTAGACTTTTTTTGTTCCATGGACTCCTTTGGCAAATAGTGAAGCCTAGGTACCCCTTTGCCAAATTGTGTTTTTAAATGTATAAAATAAAATACTTGAGATGGCAAGGAAATAAAATATATTGAAATATAGATATCTATATATACCTATATATAAATATTTAAAGACCCTTCTGAAATCTTTCCACAGACTCCTTAGGGGTCCATTGATTACCCACTCTCCCCCCCCCAACCAGGTTAAGAACCTTTGACTTAGAGGAAGACATCTTGACACTAAATAGCTCAATGGGAGAACATAGGCAAAATATGCAGAATGATGAAATGGCATCCATTTGGTGCCTAACTGGTGTTTTTGTTGCCGTTGATATCAGTACATTACAGATCATCTATTTGGGATACAGGACAGGTATGTAGTTTCCCATGATTTTTCAACCTTCAAGTCATAGTAAGCTTGCAATCTACCAGTCTTTACCGACATTGAATTCTGTCCAAGTTAGTGAGGTTGTAGATGGGGAGGCACATAATGGAGACACTTTCGTCCATACGTTTCTATGGATTTTCTGTTTTTTGAAAAAAGGTGAAGAAAAGCCACAACATATGCATAGGATGAGAATTTGCTGCCAGGAAAGTAACTGCTTCTTTTGTTATGGATTTCATTCAAACCCGCCAGACTAAAACTCTAAGCAATGCTGAGAATTTAGAACTGGGGAATATAGTGTTTGCTGTTGTTAATAATTACTACCATAAATCCTCTAGGAAAGAATGAATAACTGAATTAGGATAATTCCATCGTGTATTATATTTACTCACCAGACAAACTGCACATTGAAAAAATTGACATGAAAAAGATTTTTAGAAGTTAGAAATGTTGGTTCACTCAAAAGCGTCCTGGAAATATATCAGAGAATGTAATTTTGCCGTGGTATCATCGATGATTTATATAATTTGTGCCTTCAGATTTGTGTCTTAACAATAGTGATCTCTAAACTTGTTCATTTCATTGGCTTCCTTTACTATGGCATTAGGGTACTAATGATTCCCTAAAAATAAATATGTATTTGAGAGATATTAAGTTTCTACAGTATTTGATTGATTGAGGAAAGGAATTGAAATTAATAGTGTTAACATTTTAACATAATATTGTTATACTGTAAATTTTCTCTACAGTAAAAGCATGCCATGTTTTTCTTCTTTTAACAGGCTTAAGTATTGAACAGACAATGCTGAAGGATCTGAAGGAACTGTCAGATGGAGAAATAAAAGTAGCAATTAGTACTGTGTACATGACCCTTGAGGTAAGGCTTGAAATGATATAATGTTCAATATGAGTCAGTATGCGATACTTGAGCTTTTCCCCCCAGAAATCTTTGCATTCAATCTTTTAAAGTCTAACTTGTTTGCTACGAATACCTGTTTGTGGTATTATAAATAATATAGGAATGCATATTAACATGCTCCAATATTCTAATGATCTATGATTTCATTAATATGGGCATCCCCATATTGTAGGCTGCTAGGTGGTACAGAATGTTGAACCTGGAGTCAGTAGACCCAATTTCAGATCCTCCCTCAGACACTAGCTAGTTGTGTGATAAGTGGACAAATCACTTAACCTCCTTCTGCCCCAGTTTCCTCAATGTAAAATGGGGATAATAATATCATCTACCTCCCAGGGAAGTTGTAAGGATCAAATAAGATAGTACATGTAAAGCACTTTGTGAACCTTTAAATGCTATATACATGCTATCTGTTCCTGCCACTACTACTACTACCACCACCACCATCACCACCACTACTGCCACTATTCCCTCTAATGGCAATGCTTCAAATCCATTCATGCCTGCATATTCTGTATGATTTTTGCCTTCCTAAAAATCCGCCATAATAGCTACACTCAACATCATGGGGCCTTCCCTATATTCTCTGTTGTGAATACCCATGGAGTACCCATTGTTATGAGATTTAAAAATATAAACAATGAAAAATATCCACTTCAATTCCTAGGGTATGGGCTACCATATCATATCTCAACAGAAAGTTGACAAAAAAAATTGTCTGCTTCTGTCCCACATATTGTATGTGCTGCTTGACACTGCTTACTAGAATTGAATGTCATTTCTTAAAAAAATAACCTCTACACTGGCTTTTGTAAGCTCCAGAGCCTGAGAAAACTTGTCATTTTGGTAATAAATCATGAAGACTGTAGCACTAATAATAAGTAAATCTTTCCATTTTTATTACAGGGGTGACTCATGCTTAATGTCATTCTTGTCTTTGTATGGTTCTTTAGTAAATTATCTTTTTGTCTACTTTGGGAGTTTTCAGCAACTTGTATGTTAATCTTAATTAATTTTTCCTAATCAGAACTATATTTTATCTAAGTACATTTGTAGCTGTCCAGAATTTTGCCTATTCTTTACAACTCTCTTGCTTTGTTTGGGCCTGTGTTCCTTGGTAGTTGTCTCCTACTCTTTTGTCAACATTATTCATATTCAACAAACATTTTTAAGTACCTCAGATGTGTGACACTAGGTTGGATGCTGGGTCATCAGTGTGATGAGTACCTGTGAGTTTATCTCTTGGGTTTTTGGAGTTGTATATTCCCATTATGATCTCTACTTGAGTATCTTATATCTATGCCTGGATACATGTAACTTGTTATGCTCACACGTGACAGTTTTAAGGGAAGATAAATGGATTTAGGGTCAGATGACTTGAGTTCAAGGCTCTGGCCTTGTTGTTTATCTCTTGTGGTGGATCACTTTACTTCCCTGTTCCTTCTTTTCCTTCTGTATAAAATGAACAAATTGGATTTATCAACAGTAAATCCCTGATACCAGAGATAGTAGGTTATATTTAAAAGATATTTTCTTAACTTTTTTGTTTGATCTGGTGAAGCCTGTGGACTCTATCTTTGAATAGTATTTTTAAATGCATAGAATAAAATATGTAGGATTATAAAGGGAACCAATCGTATTGAAATAATTATAGAAATATTTTAATATCAAGCTTACGTGCTCCAGATTAAGAACCCTTGGATTAGATGAAGCCTCTTTAAATTCTAATCTGTAATTTAGTGACTATATGGATTTTCAATGTCCTTTCACCCAGGGGTATCCAAGAGCTTCCTTGAACCAAGTGAGAGCATTGTTAAACAACGTGAACATTTCCATCTTGTTTCTTTGTTTGTTTGTTCAGTCGTTTTCATGACCCTATTTGGGGTTTTCTTGACAAAGACACTGGAGTGGTTTGCCATTTCCTCCTCCAGCTCATTTTACAGATGAAGAAACTGAGACAAACAGAGTTAAGTGACTTGCCCAGAGTCACACTGCTAGTAAGTGGCTGAGGCTGGGTTTGAACTTGGGAAGATGAGTCTTCCTGACTCCAGGCCTGGTGCTCTAATCCACTTTGCCCTAGCTGTCCTGTTCATACATTTGTTGTTGTTGAGTTGTTCCAGTTGTATCCATTGTATATGACTCTCCATGACCCCATTTCAGGTCTTCTTGGCAAAGATACCGGAGTGGTTTGCCATTTCCTTCTCCCGTTCATTTTGCAGATGAGGAAACTGAGGGTAAACAGGGTTAAGTGACTTTGCCCTGGGTCATACAGCTAGCCAATGACTGAGGCTGGATTTGAACTCACCAAGATGAATCGCCTGACTCCAGATCTGGCTCTTTATCAGTGTGCCACCTAGTGGTCCCAAGTTGATATTATTGATAATATAAACTATTAAGCCTTAAAACTGCATTAAGACTTTTGGGACACCTGGCCTATATCCACACACCAATAAACTGAATGTTGTTCTATGCCCTTTGTAAAACTTGTTTCTCATTCCACTGATGATTTACTCTATGAGGGTGAGTCCTCCCAGGGCTTGGCACAATGCTTTGCATATAAATAATGCTTAATAAAAATGCTTACTGATTTGAACTGGAGATGCTAGGTCAACAGTAGTACCAAGATGCTGACTTCCAATACTAACCTTGTTAGTAGAGTGACTCTGCTATCTCTGGAGAGTTGAGGATTGATAATTACCATAGCTGATCTTCAAGGTGGGTAGAGCCAGCAAATGTGCCTTAAACGTTTTGTAGTATGGTAGAGAGAGAAAACTATGACATTAACCTCCAGGGCTCAAATAGATCTATTCTATACACGGGTCAGTGGGAACAGGGCCTGTTTATGCTTGTACAATGTGCCTCAGGGATTGCTAACCTTTCCCAATATCACACTAGTTAATGGCATCTTACTAAGTTTTAAGTGCCTTTTTTGAAACCCTTTCTAAATTCACACAGAACAGCTTATGGAACTGTCATTTGTAGCAAAATTTTTGTCTTTATTTAAAGACTCAATATCACTGAATTACTCTAGCCATGGTGTACCTTCATTTATATTATGCAGCGTATATCAGTGGCTACTGTGTCAAGGTATGCTCAATAGCAAATATTTAGCGTGCTGAACAAGTGATGCAATGATAACCCTAGCTCAACAAAAATTTACATTTTGGTCTATTAATTAATCAGTTGGTTAATTACATGTCTGGCAATGCAATCTGATTTCTTGAAAGTGGAAGACCAATGGATAAATCAAACATGCATGTCATTTTAAACTATTACCAGCTGTGTAGAAGCTAGTCACTTTCTTCTGGTACAGATGTTTAAGAGGGAAAGGACTAGAGATGGCGATCTGGTTTTATCTCTAGGCAGTATAGTAATTGAGCAGGGGGAGGGGAAGAGGAAAGGTTCCTGATTATTTCTATTAAAACCCCTTTTGATATCTGTTTCAGGATTTCTTTTTTTCCTTGTGTTTCCAAGTTCCCTTTCTCTACACTCCTTGAGAGCAGGGATTGTTTCATTCTTCATATTTGAATCCCCAGCATCCTGTACAGTGTTCTTCCTGCACATTTGATTGACAAAATGCTAATTCTTCTTGGATCTATATGGATATTATTAGTAATTCTTTGGTATAGTATATAGTAGGTGCTTTAAAATGCTTGTTTATTGACCTCATTAGCATTGTTTCTTAACTCTCTAGAGACCTCATGATCTCTCTATTCCCTTTAAATCATGGCCAACCTTGCTTCTTTTCTGTTGAATTTCCATGATGTGGGCAGATTTCCATTGCTACATTTCCTTCCCTTCCACTCCCTACTTATTTTGAAGAAGGGACCAAAGGATACATACTTCATTCTTTGGACTTTGCCACCATGTCCCTCATTCCTGAGGGTAGGTATCTTCTCTCCCAAACCCCTTTCAGCTCCCTTTTGTGTGCTGTCTTCTTCCAGTAGAAGGTATGTTCTTTGAGATCAGAGACTGACTTTCTTTTTGCTTATATTTGGATTGCTGGCTCTCAGAACAGTGCTGGGCACATAGTAAATACAACAAAAGCTTGTTGACTTGATTTTTGACAAGTTTACTGATAATTGTTACCCACTACTCACCTCCAAAGGATAAGCATAAAGGAGAAAGGAGGTAAAACTTAAGTCAATTGTAGCATAAAATCACAGAATATCAGAACTGGAAGGAATCCTAGAAATCATTTCGTTGAATCTCATTTTATAGATAAGAAATTTAAGGCTCAGAGTGATCAAGTGAATTACTCAATGTTACATAGTTAGTAAGTGACATAATCTTCTATCTTAGCTGTTTACTACCTCTAGTAAAAGATTTTGGGGGGGGGCAGCTAGGTGGTGCAGTGGATAGAGCACCAGCCCTAAAGTCAGGAGGACCTGAGTTGTGTGACCCTGGGCAAGTCACTTAACCCCAATTGCCTAAAAGCAAGAAAAAAAAAGATTTAGGGAGGATGTTGAAAGTATTGAGAAAAATGGCCATTTCCAATTTCTCCATTGACTCCCTTTTCCTTCAAGGATTTTGTTGATATTCAATTTTAAAGTAAGTAGGGTATAGTGATAAAGGATCATCCCTCCAGGGATTTGATCCTTAAGGTATGACCCTGAGTCTGGAATACTTCTATCAGTGGTATAAATAATAGTCAGATAAGATCCAATTGTTTGGAGGACAAAGTTGTAGAATAGATATAGATGAAAGTATGGTAGGCAAAAAAAGGTACTCTATTCAGTCTAGAAATATGAAGACTCAGGAGAAAATCTGATGGAAGCCTGTACAATCATGGAAGACTGTGATGAAAGGAAACAATTTTTTTCATCAAATTATGAACCATTAGACCTGGAAAGTGCCCCTTGATGTTTAAAATAATTAATTTTGGAAAGGGAAGTAATGGGATCTTCTCAGATGCCTTTGGTTTTTGCGCCAATCTTTTCTGGTAATCCTTTTCTTGC